CGGCCCATACAAATAAACCAAACCTGGCCAAAAATAACAGAAAAGGCAACAGATGCTTCCAATTAAAATGTCAGCATCTCCTGAGAAGCCGAGTTCTCACGTGGTATGGGTGCTTGGGGCTGAGGGGTACAGCCAGGGACCACATATGGAAATCTGTTTGCATTATACCACGTCCCAGATGCCACGGAAGACACTGGCCTGACCTTGCAATTAACACGTTGGCTGTTTCTGGGGTACAGTGCGTGGTTGCAGGGAAGAATCATGAAGTTGTGAAACAGAGTGGTTGTTCCCACTGAGTCCTGTAGGAAGCGAGGGACCCAGGAACATTCAAAGGAATTGATTACTCTGTGGGCTCTCTCTCTGCCCTCTTCTTTCTTTGGCCTCCATTTCTTGACAGTCTTCAACATTGTTTTGAAAGGAAATCCACTTTCATGAATTGCAGGCAGTCTTAGAGGGAGAAGCTGTCTAAAAAGTGTTTTTTTGGTGTGCATGCGTGCGTGCGTGCGTGTGTAAAGGAACAAATCTGCCTCTCTCCTTGGTGTAGTGATGAGGGATACTTCACTGCTGTGACAGCTAGAGCCTTTTGGAAGCCACTCCAAGCCTAAGAGGTAAAGTGAGCCCTGCTTTTCTCAAAGGTAGCAAATATTCAGAAACACCATCATCCAACACTGTATGGGGTGAGCAGCATACATAGCCAAATTTTTGCCTACCCAGTTGTACTCTTAAACCCTTCACATAAACCTTTCCCATTTGCTTTGTTGCATACTAATCGTAGTTCCTTATTATTCTTTCATATTAAGGTAGCTTTATTTTTCATTTGTTTTTGTTTAGCAAACTTTCTCCTTATCCCTGCTTACATAACTACTGGAAATCAAAGATGGTAGGGAATGGTAGATGACTAGAAAGAAAAGAAACCAATATCATTTTTTCCAAAACCTCCACTGTTTCATGAATCCAGCAGGGAGTGTGTGTGTTTGAAACATGTGTGTTTGAAAGGGTGCCTTATTCTGATAAATGAAACTCCTTCTATTTTTATTATCATTGCTATTACAATAAAATCCACATATAATAGCTAAAGATCCAATAAGAGAAAAGTCCACAGAAAGGAAAAACAATGGGGAAATTAATGAACTAAATCCTCATTTGTGTTTCTGTAGAGAAAGATAATAATTTGTTGATTTCATAAGCTCCTGGATTGAGTTGCTACCACAGGCCAGTGTTGCTTGGTCTGGCTGCCCACTGGGTAACGCAAGATATGAACCTCAAATATTTTTATGTGAACTCTAACTCATTTTCACTTCTTAATGGTCACTATTACTAATCGGATAAGAGATAGACCTATCTGAATAAAACAAACATGATTAGTTTTGACAACAGAAGCTTAAATAGGATGTTAATTAGCAGCCATAGATGTGGGAAGGTTCTGGATGGGAACAATTACACAGACAAACCCACAGTATGGCTACAATGTGCCAGGGTCCCATCCCTTACCATATGGCTGCAGTCTGGCAAATAGCTCGTTGGCAATTCATTACCACATCGCTTGGAACTCAGGAGCAAATCGCTTATGATTAGCCAATTCATTATGCTATCCTTGGTAGCTCAAGGGGACCCTGAGGGCTTGCCTCCCCCATCATGTTATTTTAAGGACATATGACAGGGCAGGAATAGCCCTCCCTTTCCCAGCTGCCTCAAAGTACTGCTTGCTGGAAAGTGTGTTGGAATCTAGATAGAATCTCTCAAAAGAAAATAAACAAGATAAAAAAATCTCTATACTCAGGAATTATAGCCACAGCTGGAGCTTTTTGAACATTCCTGAGATAAAAATCAAGATTTCCCCCTCCTTCCCTTCCATCCTTCTGAGGATACGTCAGCCAAGCTGTAGGTATACTTTAGCTATAGCACGTGTGTGATCAGAAAGAACTAAAGACTAACTAACGACCATTAGACCCAGGGACAGGCAGGAGAGGTTCTGGAAGATGCTTTAGTAAGTAGGCATGGTCCTGGATCCTCAGCCTCAGAACCTACAAAATGGATATAAATATTTCTGTCTTATTTCCTAGTGGTGTGGGGAGTACAGTCTCTTGGGAGAATGTCCTTAAGGGGAAAAATTACCCTTGAATCCAAGAAGCTGATTAATCCAGCATGTGAAGCATCAGAGAGATTTATTTCCAACCTATTGGCACAGATGGGCAGGCAAGGAAGGGATGCAGCCTGTCTCTTTGAGATTCACCATTGATGAGGTCAGCTGCCTCTTGTCATGTAGGATTCTAGCTAGTACTTCCAAGAAAGAGTGACTTTGTGTAAGGTAAGAAGAAGTGGATCTTGGGCCTGAGCACTGACTAATAGGAGAATTTTTCTTTTTCTTTCTTTCTTTCTTTCTTTCTTTCTTTCTTTCTTTCTTTCTTTCTTTCTTTCTTTCTTTCTTTCTTTCTTTCTTGCAAAGACTCTGACAGAGTAGCTGGAATGCCTAAAAAACATTACAACAACAAAGGCAAGCATCTCAAAATAGAAGAGACAGAAAAAGGAAGGCAAATAGAGAAGAACTAAACCACAAGTTATTGAAACTACCCTGATTGGCTAAGCACTTGGCTGAGAAGAGACACCAACGAAGGGAAACCAAGTAGTGAGTGCACAGCACGGATGAGTCCATCTTGCTTAATATGCCTGATGTGGAGGGACCTTTGAAGAGCTTGCTTCCTTAAATCCATTGCAGCTGGTATCCCCCAATTTTATAAAGCCTGCTTTTAGGTAATAATCCAAGGGATGAGACGAGGGTCCTAATCACCCAAAAGCATACACAGCAGTCACAGTATGATCATTCTTCTGCATCATCAGTTTGACCTAAAAGAAGGATACTTGCCGTACTCAACAGTAATTACACATTTAATTAAGTCTGATTTTGTTTCCTTCTTTGAATTCTTAGGGGTTCTGGGGAAGATTTTCCATGGCTCAGGTCTCAGGAAAGTGCTGTACAGGGAATGTTAAATGATACCTTCCTCTTCTTGCAATGATTTTCCCCATATTTAGCAACAGAGGCATCAAAAAAAGAAAAGACTTCTTTAAAAATGAAACAAGATACAAGGTCCTTCTCAGAATCTTGTGTTTTGAAAGTACTCCTGCCTAGAAAACCCAAAAAGCTGGGTTTGGGTTCTGGGTTTGACACTGGTTAATGCTGTAACCTTGAATATGTCAATTAACTTCTTCATGCCTCAGTTCTTTCATCCGCAAAGGGACTGTAAGGTAAACTGCATTATGTTGATGAGATGAGCTCTACCAAAATGTTTGCTGGAACATAATCTTACTAAACCAAATGATTGCAGAGGTCAGAGCTGTGCCTTTGCTTTGTGAGGGAATAGCTTCGGGTACTTTTTCAGTTGGGTCACTCTGGCATCCATGATCAGTGTTGTCCATTTTTATAGTAAGAGGTACTATAAACACGAGGTACTATAACCTTGCCAATGGAACAAAAATATAGATATGAGACTGGTCTTATGAGAATGAGATGTATTTTATGATCCTCTTGTTCTGATGAAACCAAGCAAACCTACAGTGTGCCAGGTGTCCTGCTGGGCTCTGGTGTCCAAGGAGGAGAGGCACAGGCTCTGCTCTACAAGAATTTAACTTCATTGGGGAGTTAGATAGCAAAACAGGTTAATTTCAGTGTAAGATGCTACATGAAACAATAGGCTATTTAAAAGTTTCTCAGAATTGTTTCTCTAAGGATCATTTGCATTGGAAACAATTGGTGAGTTTGTTAAAAGGCGTGTTTCTAGGGCTGGGGATTTAGCTCAGCGGTATAAGCACCTTCCTTGCAAGCGGGCGGTTGTGAGTTTGATCCCTGGTACCGATAAAAATGAGAAAGACAAAGAAAGACAGAAAAAAGGCATGTTTCTGCTCTACCTCTACCCCTGACTCTCTATCTCTAGGGTAACACTCAGAAATTTGTCTGTTTTTATGACGTTTTCTAGGACCTTCAGACTGTCACTAAAGCTGATTATTGAAAAAGTTCCCTATGAGAACTAACAGAAGCATGACATCTTACCTTTTTGGATAACTTGCTTGAACTCTGTCCTTATACTGACTTTAGAGAGTCAGCATAGGATGTTACAGCCTATTCTTTTCTGGGAACTATATGATATTGCAAGATACCATATCCAGAAATAAAGGGGAAAATCATATTAGAGTTCATCTTGCATAGTGGTTTTCCTCCAGCCAGGACCAGCTGGCTTTTTTCTTAGTGACTTCTCCCAGGGTAGAGCCACCTGATTCACCTAGAGAGACAGCTTTGTTGAGACTCTGGAACCACTCTGGCCTTAGAAAAGCCCTAAGCAAAAATCAAGTGAATTTCTTGTATCTGTCAGTTATGCTCTGACCAAGTAATTAAGAACATCAAATCAAATTTCCCCATAAGGTCAACAATGAACCTTACTGAATTTAATTCCATTCTTGTTCTTGTTCAATTCAGTTTGTGACCAGAATCCTGGAAAGACTTAAGTTGCAAACCGAGGTACTGCTTGCTGTACTTACTTCCTAAAGAGATGATATATTTATTTTATAGCTATATTTAGAGATTTAGTTAAGTTAAAAAAACCTGTTAAGTGGCAAACCTAAGTCTCAGGTAGAAGTCTTACTCAACTATGTCATATCATATATTATATCATAATAATGAATTGTTACTTAGCAGGAGAACATTTGTAGACAGGACACAAGAGGAGGGTCACTATCCTTTACTGAGTATCTCTAGCACTTGAAGTGAGCACTCACAATTTAGGTGAGCCAGCTTACCACAGTGGAAATGGCCCGGCACTCAGAGTCCCCTCTGATCCACTGTGTGATCTTGTGCAAATGTTAGTCTTCCTGAGCCCCAGGTCCTTAATTGGAAATGAACAATAAACTCACACTAGAGGGTACTGTTGAGTGGATTGAATAAAAGGTGATGTTCTTGATTTGAAGCATAATCTTCTTTCCCATTTCCTTATTCTCCTCTTTCTGTACAGGGAGCCTGCAATTTTTATCTTGCCTCATCTCACCTCTGCAGATGAGGTCCCAGAGACCACTGAAAAATCTTGCTGTGTCATCTGACTCTGAAAGTGACTTGGCTTGTCCTCAATGGATAGCTGACCCCTCTCTTATTATAGCACCTCGGAAATCCTACCTCGTCATGAAACCGGGTAGAACATCATAAAAAAGGTAGAGGTAGGTCGACCTTAATTTTGCTAATCTGTTTGCTTCTGTCTCTGGCCCCTACCACTGTGTGCCTCATCTAGGCACGGAGGAATGGGTCAAAATGAGGACTGTGCAGAGTTTCCAGCTCTGTGCTCTTTCTTGGGGATCTGAAAACCTGGATACACCTGCTAGAGACTATAGTTCCTCAGGGTAAAGTGAGGATTTCAGGTCCAAAAGTATTTTACAATGACCCTGCATGCCACAGAGAACCAAGTGCTCCTTGGGAGTGGGTTCACATACAGGCCAAGTGGCCAGGAGGAGTGATTATTCCCACAAAGAGTAATCTTTCTCTCACACTACATTCTTTCTCTGCATGCTTCCTTTTCTAAAAATAATAAGTAGTCAATTATTACCAATTTATTTGCTGCTTCTTATAATGGCATTATCCATGATTAACTCACTGGAGTCTAATTTGACCCTGGCACTATTCTTTAGGAAAGATCCATCACTGGCAGTGGGATTCTTGTGAATATAGCCTCGCTCTTTCGGGCTCAGAGAACTCAATTATTGCATATGGAGAAGGACAAAGAAGAGGATGAGAAATGGCAGATGCTCACTCTTGCTGAGCTGCAAAGTCCCTCCACACTCATTATTTCATTTGATACTTATGCTAGCTGTATGAGGTAGCTAGGCTAGCTGTTAACTTCTCCAGTCTACACACTGGGAAGTAGACTCAGGTCAAATCAAAACATGGTGCCCATGATGGGATTAACATCTACAGAGGCATCCTGCTGGTTTCTCTCCCCCAAAACACTGCACCTCCATGGAGATTGACAATGATTTTAATGAAGTTCATTTCTGAAGTACAGATGCCCCTTAACTTATGATGGATTTATGTCCTGATGAACCCATCGTAAGTTGAAAGATTTTAGGTCAAAACTACATTTAATATACTCAAATTACACAACATTCTAATTTAGCAACACAGTATACCATAAAGTGTCTACTGCTTTTCCTTAGAGTTATAAGACTGGTGTAGGGGAGAGGGAGAGAGGGAAAGAGATGAGAGAGAGAGAAAGAGAAAGAGAGAGAGAGAGAGAGAGGCAGAGAGAAGAGGAGGAAGGAAGGAAGGAAGGAAGGAAGGAAGGAAGGAAGGAAGGAAGGAAGGAAGGTGATGTGTTCTGTTTGTTGAGGAAAAACCTGTTGAAAGGGATAAAGGGAGATGAGAGTAGGAGCCTGTCTAGGAGACAAGAAGGGCTGCACCCTGAGCTGATATACAATGTTACATTAGATTTGAGACTTTTGCAGTGGGAATAGAGAAGGGTGGGTGAAGGTAGAGAGAAAGTGTAAGCTTCTTGTGCGTTTCCTGCCAATTCTATCTCCTGTGAACTCTGGTGTTTGGAGCAGGCAGCAGTTATGGCATGCAACTGGGCTTTGTGTCACTCCCAGGAACAGGGCTTCTGGGTATCTAGCAGCTTCTAACTGTCTGTCTTAATTGCTTTTCTCTTGCTGCTGGGACAAAATACCTGATGCACAAAATGAAGGAAGGAAAGATTTGTTTAGCTTACAGTTTTTGAAGGTTTCAGTCCATACTCAGCTGGCTCCAAGACAGTGTGGTGTAGCTGAGGGGCAACAGTTCCTGATAGCTGTGGCAGATGCCAGAAGCGACAACAGCAAAATGGCAAAATGGGGGGGGGACCCATACTTCCTTCCCTCCCTTATATTATATGTTGGCTACCTGCCCCTGGGTATATGTAGCACTCACACAGCCAATCCCAGTGCTGGAAAATGAACCAATCACAAACACTAGACTCAGCCACCTTCAGAAGGCCTGCCCTCACGGCCACATGAGACTTTGCAGGGACATTTAAACAGAAATCATAACACTGCCCTTCTCAGTTGTTTGTCTCCCCATTTCCCAGTATGTCCTTGATCGCATTAGGGCCTTCTCCAGCTGTTCCCTGAGGCCTCTCCTCCTGAGGGTGATTTTAGTAGTAAATACAGAAATGTAGTTGGGCAATTATTTACTTTGTCACTGATTTATTTGATTGATAAATCTTTTAGAAAGCTTGCACAGATATATCACGCTATAGTCAAAAACTAAATCATATTTCTGTTTATGAAATTTTTTCAGGACCTTACACAAGCACAGACTTCCATATTGTTTCTAACGCACAGAGTCTAAGATCTCGCTTTTAGTGCCTTTCCAAAGACATAACCTCTTGAGCCAATAAAGGAAACATTTTTAGTGAGTTCTGGCCTCTTCCCCCCTCACAATTTTTTAAATTCTATCCTCACCTCCAATTTTCCCTCCTCATAGAGGATGTTCAGAGGCCTCTAAATGCTCATTCAGATCACAAGAACAGTTTCCTTAAGCTTTCAAGTCACTCAGCACTATTTTCTCTGGGGACAGGCCCAGGTCCTAATATCCTGTGTGTTCCCCAGGCAGGCTGATGGCTGCCCTGCCCTGCTGGTTAGACTATCCTGCAGCATGACTCTTGAACATGGTGGGGCTTGTTTTAGAATCACATTTTCTTTTTGGGAAGCTCCTCCTTGTTAATCTGTGCATCTATCTGACATGCTAACTGTAAGGCCAAGGCCATTCCACGGAAGCAAAGCATACTTCAAGGTGGAAATACATTTTGTTGAGGAGTTTCAGAGCTACAAAAAGGCCTTATCTGGTTGGCCTATTCTCTTGCTCCACTGTTCTCTGCTGCTCTGCATTATTATTCTGCATTGAATATAAGGCTAATCACTTGTACTTCACACACTGGTGTCTGCTTGTCTCCTCATCAAAGGTAACCTCCATAGGAACAGAAGGATTTTCTGTTCTGAACCTGCCATATCTCTACTGGCTCAGTCAAGGGTCTTGAACCTGTGAGGGGCTCCATTCACACTTGTTAAATTGATTGTTGAGTGAATGTGGCTATCAAGTCAATGCCTACTAGGGTCTAAGCATTGAGGTGTAGTAAGGAGAAAGAAGAACTGGGCGCCAAGAAATCCAGCATCCTCTTCAGCTTCTACCATGAACTATGAACTAGTCAGTATACATCATGTACCTCACTCCAACATTGGTCAAGTATGATAGCTCCTGGAGGCCCCTTTCACACTGACATGGGTTGGATTTTTGGAGGGAGGAGAAGTATAGGAGAGAATATAGTCTTTGTTGGTATTTGTTAAGGCTTTATGTTCTAGCTTTGGCACTAATTTGGTGACCTTGGAAATGCAAAATTCAACAGATAGATGGAGAGATGCCTATGAATGAATTTGGTTTTATAAATTGCCTACGTTTTCTCTTCTTCCTGGTTTCTGGATGGTTCTTCTGATACCACTACTCTGGAGAAATAAGTACAGGATGATGACAAGTGCACATTCTTTCTAACCTGCCAGGACCTCAATTTAAATATGACCATGCACAGAATGTTGATCTGAGATGCCTGCTTTCCTTTCTGTGTACATGATTTGGTGGGGACCTAGCTCTCCATGCAAGTGATCAAAATGCTGTTTGATGCTTCTGTTTAGTTCTTAGTGGGATTTTAGATTTATTGGGTCAATTGAAAATCTCATCAAAGCATCACAGAAAGGATATTGGTCACTGAGCTCAAATATTTTATCAAAGGCCTCACTAGGTGCCTAATATGTGCAGATTAAGGCATGGGGGGACTTAAGGTTAAGGAAACACACTCAAAGTCTGTAGCTAAGAAACCAGGATAAAACAAATCAATGAAGAGAATTTTGGCCTCAGAGTCAGAAGAATAGAATTCTTTAAGCTTAGCTGCTTATATAATAGTGGATCCAAACAGTCTTTTGAGTCAAATTGCCTAGAACAATTCCTGTGTCTGCCCTTGACTGACTGGGTTACCACAAAGTTTAATTAGTATATATAACACAATCAGTGCTTGACAAAGACAGTAGTAAATGGTAGCCAATGCTGTTATTATTATTGTTGGTATTGTTAATATAAGCTATATGACTATGGATAGTTCAATTTTATCTTTATGTTAATGATGTGTTTGTTCATAAAATGGGGGATAATATATTCTATTTTCAGACCATGTTCTGAGATGTCCTTCACCTTACCCTATTCATTCATTTATTCATTTTATTTATTATTTTAGGGTTTCGCCTAAGTTTTCATTTGAAGAAAGGAAAAAAAAAATCAAGTTGCAAATCACTAGGCCTTCATTAGCTTGAAGGCCCATCCTTAATTCTGAGTAGAAAATATGTAACGAGCATGAAGTATTTGTAGGGGATGAAGTATTTGTAGGGGAAGCTGCTACAAGCCTGGAACGATTTCTTGGAAGAATCAAGGTAGAAAATTAAAATACGGTGATTCTCCTGGTGGATAAACCCGCAAGCGAAGTTACAATTCCAAAAGAGCTGGGGGTGGGTGGAGTAGCAGCTTTAGGGAGAATGTCCCCAATTTGGGCGTGAACTATTTTCTCCTACCAGCCCTGGTTCTCCCTAAAACAGGTTTTCTACCAGCAGTGCTTCTTCGGTGATCCCACCGCGCCTGTGCACCGAACTGTCTCAGAGAACGTGCATGAGCAGAAATCCAGAGCCAAAGTAATTTTCAGATCTGTCAGCTCTGTCTCCTGCGGACCTCTGCTTCCCACTGCCTTCTCATTTCCAGAGGCAGCTGGTGATTAACTTTTTCTTTTCTTTTTCCCTTTTCTGAAATTGTTTACTGTACCAAACACCCAATGTCCACTGCTCAGAAGATTATAATGCTAACATTTTGTTGAATTTAAATTTTATTTTAATTAAGGAACTAAAATACTATAGTATACTTGAATCTTCTTTATATTTTCCTTGAGTTTCTTTTACTCCTTTGGGAAAATCATTTTCCTGGAGCTTGTTTGTGTTCTTCTGTGTATTTTTGTGCTTTTACTATGCATGTGTTTAAAACCATAAGTAGTTGATAACAATATTTTTCATGTTTTAATAAGTATGTAAGTGGTGCATTAATATTGTTTCATTTCTTACAGTCAGTTTCGGTTTTCAAAGGCCATCCTTTTTCAAATGTGTGC